CACGGGCAAAATAGACTATGCTGTAGCAACTCCAGATGTGGCATTAGGCAGTTTCAGCTCATAGAGCTTCATCACTTCTCCTCTGATGCCCACCCTCCTGTGAACCTGCCCTGTTTAACGGTGCACTTTCCCCCGTGCTCAGACCTGTGCAATAGCACCCCTTTGAGTGTCAGGGGGCACATAAAGCCGCACCCCTTTGACCTTTAGGCTGAGATAGTGTGAGAGGTTGAGGGGGGGGTTCATCTCGAGGGAGGGGGCGCCCTGATGGGACCTGCCCCTCCCCAATCTGTCAGCCCAGGGCACCACATACACAGTAGCTGAGCCACTTCTACCACTTCCTGATCAGTCACGTGACCTGCTGTGAGGCACAATTTTGAGTCGGAGGTGGTACGGTAGGGCAGATACTGTTCTACTTCAGCTGCCCCCTCCCCCACCCCCCGCAGACCACATAACTTCAGCAGGGCCACTGCAAGGAAGATGCAAACATGTTAAGGCCATTCGTATGCCTTCCAGCACATTCCGGCCTGCATGCCTCCATGTAGTGGGTGGGGCCTGTGCCCAGGGAACTGACTTTTCACCCAGAAACGGGATCCGGTGTGTTACCGTTAAACCGTCAGGGAGGGACGGGGGTAAAAACAGTACGGACAAGGCCAAACTGCCCCAACGTGTAACTAACAAAAGATAAACATGCACGTAGCTTGCATGTGTATGTTCTGCTGCGCATGTCCTGTGTACATAGCAAGAGCAAACTCACATTCCAAGAAAAATGCCAGCCTGGGCGGGAGCGCAAGAATAAAGAAATAAAGATAAAAGAGCGGGATGGGGCTTTGTGGGGTCACCCAGTTCCAGCGTCTGCTAAATATGGCCGTCCTGCTTCATTTAAGGCTGGCCGCACCCCCCACCCGCCTGCGGGATCTCTCTCAAAACATGACTTTGGGGGGGGGGGGGGCTGTTCAGAGGAAATGCGACGGGATACGAGTTTAAGGGCTTGACCCACTGCCTCACGTACCGCTGCAGGAAAGCTGGCCAGCACACGCTGCCACTCAGACACGCACCCCGCAGGCTGATTGTACGACTGCACCTTACACAGGGTTGGGAAGGGGGCATTTGGAAACCCAGCAGGGCTCACAGACTCACACAGAGACACAGACACACACACAGACAGACACAGACACACACGCACACGTACAAATCATGAAACTGACTCAGATATGACACAAAGCCACAGGAAGTAGCAGACAGGGGGCGCTGGCGAGAGAGACGGGGAGAGTGAAGCAAATGCAACACAGCAGCAGGAAGGTACCGGCGCACGCTGCCTCCACCTGTCATCCGAGAGAGAGTGGCTGCTCGCGACACTGATCCCAGATCAGCGAGGAAGGTGGGAGACACTGTAAGGTCACTGCACGGAGGCACAGGGCTATGGGACGCCAGCCACCTGCTACTGCAAGGTTGCAGGTTTGAGTGTTTAACCCTAGAAAATATCAGGGCAGCCTCAGTGACAGAACAGCATGTGCTGGGTCCTTTGCGGCACCTCAGCATGCGCGCTGATTAATGTTTCTGCTGAAAGGGGCAGGAGTGGCCCCCACACAGCGCACTGCTCCCAGATGTATCAGACGTGTCAAACTTATGACAGGATGAGTGTATGTAAATGAGAACTTTAAGTGAGATCAGTTCAGGACACAACAAGCAGATCACTTCATAGGAGTGAGGTGTCGCAGCGGTCAAGGCAGAATTTTTGTGTCCCTCAGATCTGTGATGATTTAACAAAGGCCCTGTGCCCACTCTGATTCAAGAAAATGCTTCACATATATATATATATACAAATTCAAATGACAATCCCAGAAATCTCACCCCAACTTCATCTGTGCAGCATGGAGTTGGAACCACACAGCCTCTCCCAGCCTTGCAGACATGTGAGCAGATGCATCAGGAGCACTGCAAGGCTCCTCTACACCCTAAGCAAACACAGAACACACCTTGTGCCAAGCTATTGGGCACCACACCTTTCTAACGGAGCTTTGATGGACATGACAGCCAGAGGGCCCATGAGGCAGGACACACACCCAAACCACAGCTGTCAGGTAGACATCCACAGCCCATGCTAACTGAACTAAGCTATGGTCTTTCTGGAAGAATTTTCTGCCATTGTCCGGCTAAATGTCCCAAACACACTGAAGCAACACACCCACAGGTAAACATTGTACACCATGCCCATCTCCACACCCCCCGCCCCCCCCCCAAAAAGCCCCAGCATGCTGAGATCCACTTATAAAGAGCCCCACCCACCTCCTTTTCGCTACAAACCCACACCCAAGCCACTCTCATCCAATGAAACCACACCCCCCACCCCCCCCCCCACCACATTCCATGCAATGCCACGCCCACCACCACGCCCACATTCATCAACGCCCCACTTCTTATAGAATCCGCGCCCACTCGGACCTGCCAGGGCCAGCAGGTGAAACAAACCCGTAGTTTTTAAGTGGCACAGAAATGACACGTAAACATACGCCCGTATTTTCCATGGATGCCCGACAATGCAGTAACATTTCGTACGCTGCGCTTGGCCACTCAACAAGATGTTTGCAAAACTTCTTGAAAATGAAAGCACAACAGGAAGAGCAAACAAACCGCAGCAGTAAACCAAACCACACGGGTCCGTTCGGATCGTCGGCTGTTATGGGTTTTCGGCACCAATGTGCCTCGGTGAACACCCAGAGTCCTCGTCGTGCCGCAGGTCGGCGTATAATACACATACACCTCCACACATAATAAAAGGCCAGGAACCGGACCTGTGTCTCAACTTGCCCAGGCACTGCAGGTAAGGTCGCGTTGCGTAACTGGCGCCCATTGCAAGAAGAGTACCCCCCTCCCCCCCTTTGAGATGGCCGCACTTGTCAAAAAGCACAAACACAATCACACACAGCACCGCTGCAAGCCCGTTACTGCAACCATTTCACACGGGAAGAAAACAAAGAGATAAGACGCGGGGCTGGCCCAAGCTGATTGCCTCCCGTGCGGCCGTCCGCGGCGCCCGGCACCTACCCGAAGACAAAGAGAAAAATACACCGGGGGGTCTGACACGTGTGCCGGGGGACTGCGATCTTAGTGTTACACCCCGCCGATCTGTCTTGTTATGGGTGCAATAACGTGACAAACAAGCGCCCGTCATAAATGCAGGTATTAAAAAGCACGGCTTTACCGAGAGCCACAAGCCGTACGGTACAGCATGTACTGCCTTCAGAAGACTGAACAGGAGGGGGTTTGTGTGCTTTTTGTCCTCCTGTGGGATCAGGAAAATAATTCCCCTTTTACAAACGGCCGCATAATATGAGGGGCGAGCCGGTGCGATGTGTCCCCGATTAATATGAAATATAAAAATGGTGAGATAATGATTAACGATACGGTTATTTCAATCGGTGCATCCGCTCTTGCGATCACCTTAACCACCAGAGCCGGGCACCCATCGGTCCAATGCAATCGGCCGCAGTGGCACCGCATAAAAGGGGACACACAAAATTCACCATTAATCACAATAATGAAACAGCCACACGACGGCATCCAGGTACTGGCCGTAACGAATCAGCAGCACGGAGGACATGGGACGCCCGGTAACGTCTGTCCCGGTGTGTATCTATTTTTAGGGGCTCATTAGGTCATTGAGAAATAAGGCCGGTTTTATTCGCGTTTATCCATAGCGGGCTGGCACCGTGCATAAGCAATAAAAACGGGCGCGTTTTCTGGACTCACCCGCAGCGCAGATAGATCGATCTCGTCCAGACTTCGGGCCGGAGAATCACTCGCCATGTTGATTTTGCCAGATATTCTTTATATGATAGTAAAAAAATAACAAGACCCAGACCCCCCCCCCTCCTCCCCTTAAAAAAAATCCTCTTCGGTCACAGGTCTAGGTCACGTTAGTAGTAAAGCGCCCAGGCGACGTTTCTGCTTTTTTTAAGAATGAGAGGGGAAAAAAAACAAGAAATGACAGTCCCTCTGTCGATGTGACAAAAAAAAACGGGAGCGTGCTCAGGAGGCTACATCGATGCGTGTAGCGACAGAAAACATGCCCGATGCTGAATGCATGGCCGCCTGCACCGCCTGCGGACTGGAGCGCGACCCAGCGCCTGCACGCGCACCGATGCGCTCCGCCACCGACTGTCAATCAGCGCCGTTTCCCGGGAGTGGTCAGGACGCCGGGGGGCGGGGACACGCCCAACATGGCCACGCCCATAGTCCCTCCCCCCCGGAGCCGTGCGTGAATGTGCAGACTAGGAAGCGTTCCACTGACATGATCACCGGAAAGCAACAAACCGAGCGAGCACATACACCTAATGGAAATGCACGTTTACACGACAATTAAGCGAATACGGAAGACCCCTTAGGCATAGATCCGTCTGTATGTGCGCGCACTGTAAATACAGCATGTAGGCGTTTATGCTTGGATGCTTCGGAAGTCTGAGATCAGTGAGAGATAACAGCTCGCTAGATTGTCAGGGCAAAGAGACTTAAACAAACAGAAATGGCTGCACGCTTACATGTCACCCCAGTTTAATAGGACTGTGATCCCCGTGCTGTCTTTGTTGTGGATTGTGCTGTAACCTTCAGGCTGCCCTGATACCTTCAGCTGGGAGAGTCTAAGCAGCGCCACATCGCAGGAGTCAGTGTCCCAGTCAGTGTCTGCGTCAGGAATCTGGCTCTACTTCTCTTCCTGTCCTGTTGGAAGCACAGGCTTTGCTTTCTTGCTAGGAAATCTGTCTGAGTGGGTGAGGGGTGCTCGCCCCCAACACGTTGAAATGACCTAGTGACTAACCCTGCCACCTTCAGCTTTGACTCACAGCCCTTCGTACCCAGAGCCATTGCGTTACCATTAGTGATGATGAATACAGGTCTTTATGGACGCCTGTCAAAGAATCAGGGATGAGGTTTTGGTATTCTCCATATTGGCTAATAGCTTTCTCCCATTTTTATCATGCTTTGGAAAGTGGTGCTGAAAACGTGCATGTTAAAACATCCATGCAGCCATTGGGCCTGGCAGCTTAGGGCACAGAGCAGGGTGACACCTTGCGCAGGATGTCAATCCATTATAGCACACAGACACAATCACACTACGGGCAATTTACGGATGCCAAGTAACCTAACTATCTCCCCCACCTGTAAGGGGGAACCTGTCCAATACAGAGAGAACATTAAAACTCCATATTCCCAGAGCATTGGTGGGATTTGAACCTCCAACCTTGAAGGTGTGACGTAAACCGAGAATCAAACACAGAAGGCGAACTCCACTAATGATGCAAAGGACCCTGGCCAACGTAGCTGCGATGAAGGAGAGGTAGCCGTGTAGAGATTTTACTCTGCTTTCTCTTAACCCATTTCCATAGCATGGCATCTCTTGAGAGCGTACCACGGATGACGACAGCGACATGTCGGAAAACCGCAGAGGGAGCAATTGGAAAAGGAGTTCATCAGCAGAAATAGCTTGGCTGGCCTGGTGAGTGTGGCGTGTGCGTGTGTTTGTGCGCGTGTGTATGTGTTCATTCATAAGACTACAGAAGCAGGTGGGCTGGTGAAGAATCCTATAACAGATAAAAAGATTTAAGAAAAAGCCCTACTGTGAGCATATTTACTCAGGAAGCTGCGTCTTGCAGCCTTGTGGAACATTCCAGAGACACTGAAAGATACTTTCAAGCATGAAGAAGCCAGACAGTAACACAAGCAAAAGTGGGCATACAGGCTGATGGGGAAGAGCGCCCCGCTGTGGCCGAGCTGAGCCAGCACACCGGTGACCCAATGAACCCGCCTCTGCCCCGTGCTGCTTATCTGGAGAGGACATTCCAGGAAGTGGCTTGTCATGCTGCCTCAATTAACGTCAGTACCTGGGAGGCACTGGTACCGGCCTGATAAGAATCGTGTCAGGTGACCGAGGTGGGTGGCTGGAGCCGCGGAGCTGCACCCTGCCTCTGAAAGGCAGCTGTCACAGGAAGTAGCAGATTCACACGAGCAGCACTTACTGTTGCTGTTGGGCCCTTTGGTGTGAAGCCCTACCACCCCCATAACTCCACAGCAGATTAAAATTCTTTAAAAAAATAAATAAAAAAGTTCAACCACTTGCATTTTCGACCTACATGTCATATGACGAGGTTTCTGGGCTCCTTCGAAGACACCTGTCTTTTCCCAGCATCTGGTATGTGGTATGTTACTCTCACCCCTGCACTGATTGTTCTGCTGGCATCAGAGCACCTGTGGGATCCACATCAGGGGGAGGAGCTGCAAGACAGTGTCAGACAGACCAACAGCACAGATTTCTAAAGCAGGGTCAGTTCTAAATCACCCTGCTATCGCACTTGTAGCCTGCAGGGGGCGCCCACTCCTCCCGCCGACACACAGGGATGCCCTGCTCTTTGGGCTGGGATGTTCTTGGAAGTGACAAACACAAAATCTAATTTTCTGGGGAGGGGTTCCAGTAATTAAATGTTTGGTACCTTTCAGTCTTTGGATCACCTGCCCTGGCTTCCATCTGACTGTCCCACAGTAGGCACTATTTCTGGGAGACATGGCCTGTCTGTCTCCACAGCAATTTTCCAGGTAAGGCAAGAGGGTGTGTGTGTGTGTGTGTCCGCACCTCCCCAGCCCTCTCGTGAATCGGTTTATCACCACGCGAATCATAGCCACCCACAAAGAGCCACTGTGTAATTAATGCGCATGTTAAACAGCTCAGAAAGGGGGAGTTGTTGGGGTGAGGAAGCCGGATTGTGTGTTGGTCCAGAATAATACCGGCATGGGGGCGGGGTTAGGGCAATGGAATGAATCAGCTGAGGGTAGAGTGAGTCAGACAGCCCCGCAGCAGCCAGCAAAGACCCCTCTGAACAGCAGAAATGGGACACGTTTGACCCATAACCTGGGAAAGGACTCAGCACCGGCTGACAGCAGCAGGAGGCGGCCTGTGTCTGGCCCATGGGCGTCTGCCAGTGTCTTTGCTCCTGCTTCGTCTCCTGGCTCTCTTAGAGCCGCTGCGTGCCAGCCCCGTCCAATCTGCCTGTCTATACTTTCACATCACAAGGCACCCTCTGATTGGCTGAGAGCCAAAGGACATGCCCTCTGATTGCCCGATAGCCATGGGTTATCTGATTGACCGAGAGCCGTAGGATAGCTGATAGTCCGAGAGCCACAAGCAAAGCACTCTGATTGGCCAAGACCTGCACGATGCGCCCTTTGATGTACCCGCTGACAGGCAGGGACTGGCCCTCTCATTGGCTGAGAGCCGCAGGATGTGCCCTCTGATTCTGATTGCCCCAGTGCCACAGGCTGAGAGCTTAGATTGCCCAAGAGCTTTGGGACAAGCCTTCAGATTTGCCAAGAGCCACAGGATGCAGCCCTTTATTGACCAAGAGCCGTAGGCCAGGCCCTCTAATTGGCTTTGCCTCATGGACTCTTTCCCGGGCAGGTGACCCGGCTCCAGCCCACGAATTGGACCAGCAAGGAGCTGCATTGGGTGGAGTGCGGCCTGGTATGCACTGTTCTGGTCGGGGCCCGCGGACGCCCCCACACAACTCACTGAGCTAAAAATACCGCCCTGAGAGGATGCCTTACGCAACAGCAGCACGTACATTCAGCACGGAGTGAGTCCGGTGCTAAGTGGGTCAGCGGGGTCCTCACACGCTTGGGGGGTCGGTGGGGGGGCATATTTAATGAGGGAAACCACCGCAATTAATCCATATGCAAATCAAGGGGATGGCTTGGGCCGAAAGCTGAAAATCTAGGCCGGAGGACTTTAAGGTGGATGACCTGGGTGGTGTGATGCTGTAGACAAAGGGACAGCAGGCATGCCACTCTAATGGGACCAGCTCCCCGAGAGAGCCCAGGATTCCTCAAAGATATTGATGCCCGGGATTGGCTGCTGTGGGGTCACCATGGCGATCTGAGGGAGGCGGCCTGCTCACTTTGAGAACCTAGGCTGTGGGTGACTTCTGTGACTTCAGGGGTCACAACCGTCAGTAGGGCGGAGTTTGGACTTGAGGTGCACCACTTCCTTAAAAGACGCCCTGAACAGCAATCACACACCCGCTGCTGTTGGTAAGCGTGTTTTTCATAAACTGGCAGAAATGTGCAGATCCATACATCACTGCCCATGAAAACGCTTAACCCAAGGGGTAAAGAACAACACATTAATTTCTCCAAGTGTGTTTCTTTTTCTGATTTCCGGATTCTCCAGGTAAACAAGGGCCAGGTGTACATCTCACTACCTCTGGACATTACCTGCGGCTGGAGTAATCCAGCTTGCACAGACAAGCCGAATTCCTGCCCGTGCTGGTCCCCCACACGCCGTGCCCTGCCCCAGCTCCTTCTGACATTCCAAAGCAGGAAACCGGGGGGGTCACAGTTCACAGATCAGAGTTTTTGGATTGGCGCAGAATGCTGCTATTCAGGCCACACAAAGCTGCCCGAAACACGGTCAGGACCACACATCACAACACTGTTTACAAACATATTATTTATATTATTTACAAATAACCAAGCAACTGTCATCGAGAGAATGACAAATGATATCATAAAACCTTTCAATTATATTCATTATGTCTTAAAGTAATTATGACGATGCAATTTTTTTTTTTTTTATCAGACATCTAATTTGATTATTAGGTGAATAAAACCTAAAAAAAATTAGATGTCTGACAAAAAAAGAAAAAATAGCATCGTCATATCATAAAACCGATCGAAGCTGGAGTGAATTACACTCTTAACCAGGTCCAGATCAAAGTTGGAGAAATTCGGCTGCTTGGGTCCCGTCGGACTGGCTGCTACAGCGTCTGTGCATTCAGGTGGCAGCACTGATCCAGGACGTGTCGGGACTTGCGACGCTGTGCGAGAAGCTCCCCAATGTGGCACGTCTGAGAATTGCACTTGAAGCATTAAAGAGAATCCATGGGACCGAATTATCATAACTGTCACCAGCACGAAGTGTGGAAACCTTTTGTTTTTACTGGACAGAAATTCTTTGGGCAAAAAAGAAACATGAAGTCCACTGGAAAGAGAGCTCACGAGCTCATGAAGAAGCAGAGAGTGGGGCAAGGAGCCACAGCAAGGTGCAATGGCGCCCCCCTGTGGGAAGGACATCACACTGCGCATTGCATATAGAACAGCGGGCATGGCAAGATGTCAGGCAGGAAGTCAGGAGCAGGACAAATTAGCCCAGCAGATCAGCTTGGTGCGGATATATGATTCAGAACGCCGAGCAGAAATCTCTGTTCTCCGCTTGGAGATGACGGACCATCAGAGCCCCTCCCGGGTGCCGTAGGTCTCCAAAAACCCACAGAGAAGCAGGAAGCCTCCACCAATCCCAGGAAAAATACAGCTTCAGCCCAGAGACAGGCCACACTGTCACCCCAAAATAACAGAAAGTTCATGAAAAGCCAAGGGCCAGCATCCAGGAAGTGATGTTGCATCATACAGGAATCCGAGCGCATGCGGCAGGGTAAGGGCCGAGGCTTGTTTCAGCATCTCTTTCACGAAGGATGTACTCCATAAAAAAATTCTCATAACAGAAATCGCGTATGGCCTACAGCATGTTGATCAGGTTTGCATAGTGTTGGTGGTCAGTATTACTAAAATTATATAAACACAGACCTGCCAACCTTGGGAATTTTTTTTTAGTACCACAATGGTGGCACTCTCGCAGACTCACACTCGCTTGGTGGGCGTGACCGGAGTGCGCAAGCGGTAACTTCAGTTGGAGGCGCAGCAATTGATGACTGGCAGGATGCTCGGCCAATCATTTCATTTGATCCGAATGAAATTATTGTTCAGACTTTTCTTAGAATCATATGACGATATGAGGAGTTTCAATACCCTGTCGATTTCTCACCTTTTTGTGTGCTATCAGCTTATTACATATATATACAGCTTCTGTATATAAAATATTTTTTATTACTTTAGTTTTAGTTATCTGTGGACCGGCAACCTAGCTCAAAATATCATAGTTCCTCGTCTACAGCATCTTCATTTTTCCGTTCCATCATATGGTTTTGGAGATGAGGATGTCGGATGGCTGGTATTGCCTCAGGTCCAGATCTCCATGGGTACCATGGCCTCCTTGGAGCCCACCGAGGGCAGCAGGTTCTGCTCGCTCAGGAAGTGTAGGGGGAACTGGACCAGGAAGCCACGGATCTTCTTGAGCTCCTCCTGGGCTCGGCCTGGGTCCTCCTTGTCCAGGCCCGGCTTAGACAGGAAGGTCTCCAGCTCCATCATGTTTCTTACATCACTGGAGGGCAGGCAGCGGAACACCTGAAACAGACAGGATGTGATGTCAGGGACAGCCAGGAAGTGAAGGCAGCATTTTCCCAACCCAGTCTGGGGGACTCCCAGACGGGCAACGTTTTTGCCAGCCAACTAAGAACAGAGAAAACCTGTTACGTGTGTGTGCACTGTGTGGGGGTCCTTGAGGACTGGGCTGGAAACAGTGATGTAAGGGACAGCTAGGAAGTGACAGGAGGTATCTGACATTTACGGCACCAATCGTCCTGGTCTAGAAATATTGATTTTTGGTCTTTTCAGAATATTCAAATTGGTGTTATCCTTAAGGACAAAAATAGTGATTTTTTGGTAAACAATCTGATCATCATAACAAAATATTACATTCATAAATGCCGATATGCTAAATCCCCCCCTTCATGGCCTGCTCTTAAAAACGAGCTATCCCTGTTGTGTACATCTCTGAACTTAATAAATAAGCCCCAAGCAATTAAATTGCATAAATTTTTAGAGGAGCTTGATTTTTCTTAGCCCCCTTATTTATTTAAGTTATATATCTTGTTTATAAAACTTCACCTCTAAAGCTTTCATGATCCCCCCTTGTCTCCCTTTTTTTCCTGCTTTTGTTTTTTGTCCTCTATTTTTTATTTTTTTTTCTCTTTAATATATATGTTTAGTTAAAATTATTGTTGGTTTGATTGTTAAATAAGGTAAAAGATAAAGGAGGTGTGACATAATGTGATGTAAAACACTGTTTCGCTTGTCTGTCTGAGATTGTCATTGTCATTGTTCTAAATAAAGTTCATTTAAAAAAAAAAAAAAAAAAACATTTACAGCACCAACAACAACATCCTCCGTGACACGTGAGCCAAGAATACAGGCTCAAGTTACATCATTATAGAAACCTGTCCCACGCCATAAGAAGGGAGTGAAGCTCACGTACCTTCTGGTAGATGGTTGCATTACGGGCTGCAGTCGCCATCCACACCTCTTTGTAGAAGCGGTCGCTTACAGGGTCGGACACGTCAATTGAGGGGTCCGTGAGGGCGCCCAAGATGATCCTGTGGGGCAAACATTCGTCAGGTGATCACCTAGGGGTACAGGATTCATGACATCCAACAGCCAAGAGCCCTGGGTGAATGGGGTCATCTAGCTCATAATGGGGTCGTGACCCACCTGAAGCACTCCAGACGCAGCTGCAGGCCGAACCTCCCTGCCTGGTACTCTTGGCCATCCATGACTGAGGCCACCGTCTCTGTGTCCTCCATGATGACGGCCACCTCGCTGTCACGCTTTCCCAGCATGCTCCGGTCATTGATGTTGGCTGAGCCTGGCAGGAGGCACGGATTCGAGGCAGGCCCCATGAGTGATGGCCTCACTCCCCCCAACCTCCCAAAGACATGGTTCGCGTTCCCATTTACAAAGGAGGAAGAGGAAAAGACAAAGCTGGATCAAGTGTACAACAGCAGCTCCACCCAATCTTAAGGTCCATCTGAAGACCCACGGGCTACCAGGTGACCCTCGTGCTTTGAGACTCCACATGGCAACATTTCATGGATAAAAGATCCCTGAGTGTAACCCCCTCACAAGCTGGACCAGTAGTGCACTATCCTGACAGTAGGGGGCGCAGTCAAATCACAACAAATCAGCTCTGACCACGTAAAGCATATGATGGATGAAATATAAATGGGGTGTAACTGCACATCCATTAATAAAATGTGCCGGAGCATTAGCTTCACTTACAGCCATTGATCGTGAAAGCTGCTCCCTTCTCTCGTGTCAAGGGTGCGAGACACACTATCTGCGGTGAATTATTCACTGGATCAGCCAGGCCAGATTCACACCCACACAACAGGAATGCAGATGCAAGGGCCGGGCAGAGGGAATCCTCAGGGAGTAAAGACACAGACCAGCCACCCTGGGAGTTACCACCCTCCTCACCGATGATGACGGTGTTGTCGTCAACGATGAGCATCTTGCTGTGCACGTATATGAGCTCAGTCACCAGACGGCCCTCCAGCTCGGCGTGGGTTCGTAATCCACCAAAGGAGATGTAGTTAATCCACTGGTCCCCCACTGCGAGACAGAGAAGACGTAGTTAATGCACTGCCCCCTGTAGGACAGAGGAGATCTAGGTAATGCACTTCCCACTGTAGGACAGAGGAGATCTAGGTAATGCACTGCCCACTGTAGGACAGAGGAGATCTAGGTAATGCACTGCCCACTGTAGGACAGAGGAGATCTAGGTAATGCACTGCCCACTGTAGGACAGAGGAGATCTAGGTAAGGCACTGCCCACTGTAGGACAGAGG